CTGTCGAGCTGAAAAGAGGCGGCTCTGCCTGTAATCTCACAAAAAGTGGGGCTCAAGCCTGGTTTGAGTAGCAATACCTCCCGCTGCGCTGCTGCTTTGCACGGTGCTGCACAGCGTTAGGAATATGGCTGGGAGAGATCCCTTTGACATTGTCTCCCAAGACAAACCATGCTAAGAAAACTCTAGACTGCAGAAGGCTTTTTTCTATCTGTAATTTTAATGATATTGGAATTATTTAAAAGTATAGTCACAGAAGCAATTCAACTTGAAATTTAAGGGTCGGGGTCAGGAAAAGTCTGGGGTCCCTCAGCCCTCCCTGAAGAAGGTGGGAACTCGGGCTGGCAAGTCCTTTGCCAGTGGCACCTGCGGTTCCTGACCTCAAGTAGATGTGTATTGAGGCATCACGCTCTCAGCACATCTAAATGATCTGAAAAGTTTTGTTCCTATGATGTCATCGATTATTTGGGAGCACACAAAAAGAAGGACTGGACGGAATTAGGAATCACTGACTACTTCTGCTTACTCCAAAAGCACAAGGACTCACTGTTAACCACAGCAGGTTCGTAAGGGCAATATTCTTGGGATGACTGGCAAAACAGTTCCCTATACTTTTTTTGCTTACCTTAGCTTTCAATCAAGCTTCAGCTTTAGTGTCAATTAGGGAAAAAAATGGTAGTTCGCTCTTTCGGAGGGAGGGAGGGATACATGCTCTTTGGAGTATATGTTGTGGATATCTATATTGATACTCTCTCTTGCACACCTTCAGTAATTATTCAAGAAAGAATCAAAGTCCCATTCGGTAACAACGTTTATTAGCTGAATAGAAAAAGCAGCAATGTGCCATACCTTATTTAATTATACATGTACAAACAATTTTTAGAAACAAATGTTTCTAGATACTAGCATCTAGTAACATCATAACTGAATTTATCACATCGTATCTCTAAGACAGAGATTTATCACATTGTACCTGGGCATTCACACCTATGAGATGGCATATGTTCATGTGACAGTAGAGGGTCATTAATTGAGAAGGGGAAAGTCCTATTCTTGCTTTGATTTAGAGCAATTTCAAAGGCAGACTGAAGGTGAGATCCCGTTCTCTTTACAGCATAACTATAATACACAACAATAAGCAGGTAGTGCCAGTTAAATTATTGTGTTGCAAAACACATAAATCCCTTTAATTTTCTTGTGATCATATTAAAAATCATGTACAAATTTCTCAGACTAAAATAGGGTTCAAGAGACAGGTAAGGCCAGAGGTAGGGAGCTGGTCAGTTAGCTATTAGAGAGAACTGTGCTTGGGTTTAATTTCACACTTTTAAAATATATTGAGATCCTTAGAAAACATTATCCATAGGCAGAATAAGTGTTTCTCTTATTGAAAATATTGATGATTTCTTCTTTAATTATTGTGGTATGAAAACCATGGACAAGAAGGAAAAACACCAGATTCACCTTTTTTGCAACTGAAGAGTGTGTCTTCACAAGAAGTAAACTCCCCTGACACAACAGAGATAGTAGAAGCTATTATGTATTTGTTATTATCTTTACATGACAGGTTATGAAATATGCATACAGGCACTGAAAACTTTTTTTATGTCTTAGCCTGAAAATTTTTCATTACAGTCAGAAGAAACACAGCTTGGGATTTTTTCCCTCTTTCTCATGTTCACTACTTTATATGTCAAACTAGTAAAAACAGAACTTTGATCCTTCCTAAGAGAGCATGGTTTTCTACATTCATATTGGTACACTTTTGAAAGATCTGTTCCACAAAGAGAAACTAATGATAACAGACAGAAATGCAGCCTTTAAAGCTACGCAGTGTATTGAAGATACTGACCAGTATGGCTTCTGTGCAATGACAACGCCTTGTAACCTCGTTCCTAAAATTTCTGAATGTTACTTTTAATTATGAAGATTGAATACACTTCTACACTTTCAGTATGAAGCAAACCACAATTGGTTTTTGGCTTCCCAGTAGTAAATAAATAAAAAAAATAATCATACCAACACACCCAAGATAAGGGAGGTGCAAGAACTGTAAGTGTGGCTTCCTTTGAAACAGAAACATAGCGGCAGCCTTGACATACAGGACCCACGATTCATCTTGTCCCGTATTCTGTCTCTTAGAGTGGAGACTACCATGTCCTTCAGAGAGGGATATGAAGAACTTCAGAACAGACAGGTACCAAAACAGCTGTTCACAAAGAGCAGTCCTGCCAAGCCACTCACAAAGAGAGGCTTAGTCGTGGTCTTTTAAAAACAAGGAAAGCTAAGACAAGGTGGCAGTGAGGTGCTTGTTACTATAAAATCGTTCTCAGCAAACCGCATCCGTTTTTCAGGCATGTACACTAGAATGTGAAGGAAAGCTGCCTTCTGCCAAAGCCTGGGAGACCTGCAAGGAGCTCCTGCAACTGGCAAAGCTGGATCTTTCTGAGGATGGCAACATTGCTCCAGGAGACAAGAAAGAGCTGGATGAGAATCATTTGCTTGCGAAGAAGTACGGAGGCTTCATGAAAAGATACGGGGGGTTCATGAAGAAAATGGATGAGCTCTATCGGGTAGAACCGGAAGATGAAGCTAACGGAGAATTCCTGGCTAAAAGGTATGGAGGGTTTATGAAGAAAGACTCGGATGATGATGCCCTTGCTAATTCCTCTGATCTGCTGAAGGAGCTTCTAGGAACCGGGGATAACCCTGAAGCGGGGCATTACCGAGAGATAAATGAAAACGATGGCGACGTCAGCAAAAGATATGGAGGCTTCATGAGAAGCATAAAGCGCAGCCCCGAATTGGAAGATGAAGCCAAAGAGCTGCAAAAGAGATACGGTGGTTTCATGAGAAGAGTGGGCCGGCCAGAATGGTGGCTGGATTACCAGAAACGATATGGTGGGTTTCTTAAGCGCTTCGCCGACTCCATTCTCCCTTCAGAAGAAGATGGGGAAACTTATTCCAAAGAGGTCCCAGAGATGGAAAAGAGATACGGTGGATTTATGAGATTTTAATACCTTTCCCTTTATCCCTTTTGTCCTAAATGAGAAAGACTGCCTTATTGGTCATAACTTATTGTAACGTGTTGCTTGTACTGTACAGTTTTTTACTGTCCTTGGTTAATGATGCAACTTGCGATTTGTTGTTTCAGGTTCTGCGTTCTTTCAAGTCAAATAACTAATTTCTGGTTTAGTCAAGTTTCAGTCTGTATTGTAGTTTCCACGCTAGAAGTATTTTGATTATTGTATTAATTTTCTTTAAAGAGGAAGTACATCTACAGTAGCGTTGCTTAACTGTATATACAATAAATTCTTCATCCTAACTGCATAAATTCTGAAATGTTACTTATTTCTCTCAGTCATTTAATCAAACATCATCCCAATTTTTCTTTAAGCAATCAGAGCAATGGTGACCTCTTTTCTGTAAGTACAGAATTTGTACTGCACACACACCAGCTAAAACACATTTTTGTCTTTAGTTTTCTCAGTTTCTTAGAATACTAGAATAGTAAATGTGCTCTAAAGCGAATATAACTGTATTTGCTCTAACTGCTCTCATTTTAACCAGTTAACAGAATAAATGTTTAAAGCCTAAATTTATAATTCATAGTGTTCAGCCAATTCTCATTAAAAAAAAAAATCATAAGTGTGTTTGACTTAAAAGCACTAAAAACATTTCTCCAGTGCACAACACAATGCCATGTTTGATTAGTTACACCTTTTATATCCATCCAATGTAGAATTGTACGGTTGGCCTTAAAGTTATAAGCACTAACTCAAAAAGCGGTAAGTCAGTGTGTGCAAACTAAACATGACCGAAAACTGCATAAAAAACCTTTAAAAATCCTAATTTTACAGAGCACCTGACAAATGGTTTTCCATAAAACAGTTTCATGTTTGATTCTTCAGCTGGTATAAATCACGTTGGCACTACTGAAATATGGGAAACTGCTGGTCAGTCTTTTCTGTTTCAAACAAAGGCAGTGTAAGTAAACCTGAGAACAAACAGAAACCCCAACACTAACACTGTAGATCCTTTGGTATTTACATAGGTGGCACTTAGATCGAAGGCCAGCTCCCATCCCAGCGTGCACTTCCTTCCATCATTGGGACTGTCCCCCTAGATTCCTAGTCTGTGAGCATCTTTCCCCCACCTACTGCTACTAGTTACTGGTTACTTCCCACTTAAATTAACATGGTAAAAATCGCTTTGACCACCGGCACTGACAATCATTTAAAGTTTCTACAGTCAAAATCCTTGAAGCTGTTTAGATAACTGATTATTGCCGAAATAGTTTATGGGAGCTAGATGTCCAAAACCATCTGTCGCTCTTGCATTCGGTATCTGTATTTCAGCTTTGCACAGTACTGCCTATTGACACAAAGGGCAAATTAAGGGTCTGATTTTTCTTTAAGTTCAAGTCAATGGGATCTTGTAGGTACTCGAGACTTTTCAAAATTAAGCTGTGTTTAAATATGGACTTAAAAGCCTCATCACATAAAATTAGCTGTGATGATTTTTGGCTTGGCCCTTAGAGAATGATTTAGGTGGTCTGAAGTGGCCAAAATCCTGCTGAAGAGTTGATAAATGGTAAGGTATTTATTTTTCTTCAATAAAAAGCAGGCCACCTATTTTCCTCTTCCTGCTGTACAGGATTGATGATACGACATTTCAAAAGACAGAAAATACAGATGCCTGTAAAAGCTCCGTGGCCTTTTCAGGATTGTGTCCCCTATCACCTTTCTAGAGAGTTCTTCAAGACGCCACCAGTCTCAGGAAAAGTCTTTCCATTCTTTCCCCCCACAGCACCTGCCCACTCGTGGCTGGAGGACATCAGTCAGGCTCCTGGAACACATCACCTGAGTGGTTTCATCCACAAGAACCTGGGGCTGTACACACTGAGCCTGCTCTGCAGCTCAAACCCCTGCATGGGATGCAGGCATCAGCAACAGGTTTGTTTCAAATGTACACTCCAGAAAGAACTAAAATGACAATGCAGTTGCATCCTTAATCTTTCACTTCAACATTTATTCACTTCTTTTACCTAAAACTTAATTTAGCCGAAGAGAGGCCCTTGCCAGCCTTCTAACTAAAACAAGCATTGTTGTACTTGATGATCCAAAAGGTTTACTAGTTGTTGTCACCCATCCTTCACAGTAAACAAAAAATTGATTTAATGAGGAATAAAATTCCCAAAGCCCTAGAGTATCCTAGTATGTATCTTGCAGAATGAAGTGTTTTGATCTACTAAACTTACCTATTTATATCAATTTGTATAGTAAAAAATGTACTTGATACAGACATCTAACTGGGATATATGCATACAACCCAAAACAGGAGTGAGGGCAAGCAAAGTGGAGGAGTAAGTCTCTTCCAAGGTTGAACAGGCAGGTGGATGCAACATGGAAAGGGGATGCAACTTTGGTTCTCTGAATGAAATAGCAAAGCTGAATAGTCCTCATTCCTTCCATTATAACTGAAAATCTCTCCAGTCAGACCCTTCCTTGATTATAATTTAAAAGATGTGAAATCAGAGTAACATCTAATTTCTTCTGTTGATGTGGAATTTCTTATCTTATGACTTTCAGTTACGCCATCACTCATGGGCTCTCTAACACTAAAGTGTTCTAACATCCTCAGTAATTAACATTTCAGATGGCATCAGCTCAAAATGTACCAGTGAATCAAACAAGGTTTCCTCAAGTCCACTTTACTAAATCACAAATCACAACTAAGGTTGAAGATAGGGTCTACTGGGCTGGGAGGTGAAAAAAGGCATCTCACTCTTGGTCTAAGTTCTGAAAGCGTCCCCTAATTTTCCTCTTACAATACATTCCTAGAGCTGTCACTTCATCAGAAGATTATTGAAACAGCTCTATTACTTTATATAAATAAAAGCAGAGTGGAGGAAAGCCTGATGTCTGGAAAGAAAATTAATTGCAAGAGTATTCTGAAGGAAGAAATGTCATCCTGAGACCAAAAACCAGATTCTGCATTTCCTTTCACTGGCTGTCATCATTGGTTTGGCATTTTTACATGGCAATCAATATTCTAGAGTGTGATCAAACATAGTATCATTGCTTTGAATACCGAGTAAGTCTAACAAAAACTGAGCAGGAACAATGAATGCTGGAAGGGTCTAGACCAGTCAGAGATTGATGCCTCTGCATTGGGAACAAAAGGAAGAAAAAGATAGTCTAGTTGAGGTTAGGCAAGGATGGGTTGGGATTTTTTATAGGAACTAATTAGAAGAAGGAAGCAAAAAAAAAGAAAATTTTAAAAAAAAGGATTTCCTGAACCAAATGGAGTTCACATACGGGAGCAGATCATGAGGGAGAGAGAAGCCAATGAATATAATGATTTCTGAATACCAAACTGCATGCAGCTGGAGCTCTGCCTGAAAACCTAAGCTTAAAGCTTGGGATAATGAGGAAAGGTCATAGAGCCATTCCCACATCTCAGATGAACTTGGTATATTCTATGAGCTGAAATATGCAGAGCATAACTTCTAATTTCCTGATGGTTTTTTTTCTGGTAAATGAATATGTAGTATGATATATAATAAAAATAAATAACTACAAAATTATTATTACAATAATTATTTCTAAATAATTATAATAATTTACTTTATAATTGTTTATAACCAGATCATAAATACAATGTTGTTAGCTGTTTCAGATAATGTTTCCCAAGATAGAATCTTTGTAAGAACAGAAACATGTTCTAATTTAATATACTGAAATAAGTATTATTAAACTGTGTTCAGCATAGACTCTAAATATGCACTGGCTCATTTTAATTCTGAAGGGAACTTAATTAACAAGAACCAAAGTTTTCGTGTATGGTGTATAAGGGCCTCTCTGTCATTAAGGATGGTTTTGGAGGTCTACATATAAGGCAGAATGATAAATTCAGAGCACAACTCTACAGTTTATGTATACATCTCAGTGCCACAGAAAGTTTTCTTTACAGCCTCCTTCCTCAAGCACTACAGAGCTCAGCTGGACACAAACAGCAAGATTCCTTCTTACACCAACAGGAACATCCCAGAATCTGCAACTTAAAAGGCAAATGAATGGTTAAGTTCCCTGACCTGAGGTCGCTTTGAGAATGAAAAAAAATCCCAGTACAGGTTAGCTGGCCCTAAAACCCATTTTATTTACAGTGACATTCTGGGACAACCCAGGAAGCATACCATATTTCTGGCCTTTTAAAGCATTGAAGTGGGATCTAAAAAGTTGCACAGAGAACACTGTAACCACTTCCCTATCAGAGTCTTAAATCCTTCATGTTTCTCTTCAGTTCCCACCAAGATGGGTGATTCAAGCATCACCAAAGAGATCCCTCCACCTGACTAAACTCTGCAGTCTGGTCTCTTTCTCCAAGAGCAGCTGCTTTGGCAGTGCACAGACTTCATCTCTTCCACTTCCTTTGCAGTCCTACCATCTCTCACAGAAATCCCTTCGTCAGTTTCCACTCACAGCCTTGGGTGTACTTTCACCACCCACGAAACTGAGGTTTGCTTTCTGACTCAAACCCTAAAAGACAATTGTATACATTTAATTGGAAAATGACTGACACCTCCAGTACCAAGTCCTAACTGTGGAGGTTAGGTGGCTATTTTTAGTTTTTCTGCTTTTAATATTTTGATCATAATGCTTTGCTGCCCACAGTATTAAAACTAGTTATACATACCATCAGGAATGCACCGATTACATCAAATCTGTATCATTAACTGTACTTCATAACGTCATCACTGTATTGCAGTTATAGACCACTACTCCACCCACCTGATCAGGGTAGGGACCGATCATGAACATAGCTGTAAGCAACGAACAGGGTAGCAAAGCCAGTTGTAAATCATTAATCCGAGCATTCAATTACTAATCCCATCAGCCTCATTTAAAGCATTTAAACTGACAGTTGCATATCCAATTAACTGTTGCTATAGAAAATGAAAACACTTAGAGGTATTTGACAGACAAATCTTTACTGGCCCAGCAGGGATTTAGACTGAATTTGTTTAATTAGATTGTGACTTTACCTAAATTGAGCATTTACTGTAATCCTTGCTGAAACTATCGAATGAAATCTCTCAAGGTTAAACAGTCATCACAAAATCACATCATTCTGCTAAATGATTTGTTAAAAGCACTGCACTACACTGCTTCCTCAAGGAGAAGGCTGGCATATCCTTGTAGAGAGATTCCGAGTGCTAAACCTTTCCATAGCTATCCATGTCAGTGGATACACAGGGGCAAACATGACCTTTGCCTCTTGCCTTTCTGCCATCACTCCCTTTCTCAACAGTTTTTTCCAGCCCAACAGTTG